GAGTTTGAAGGCACAAAAGAGGTTGGGACTGATTTAGTGTCTCCTTGGTACATTAAAAATACAGCTGAAGAGTTCCAGGTGTAAGTTGCTTTCCCCCTTCTCTATTTATTAATGCATATTAGATGTATATTGATGCATACTGATACATTTAATATGCTAGGCCAAGCAACTTATAGCAAGAATAGAATAGCATGAAAAACAGTGGTTTGGGGGCAAGGAAGGATTCTGCAATTGGATGTTCTGGCTTGAAGTTCATCTTCATACGTCATTAGTTTTGCTGCTGGGACTACCTGATTAACTGCACTTAGTTAGGAGGCTGTATTAATGATTTGTTAATCTTTGCTTTTGCCATTACCATATAGAAATTCTAACTTGGCATTAAAAGTTATTTGGTAAAGGTTGGCTGTGTACACATTTAAAGAGTTTCTAGAAAATCTGAAGTCTGAACAACAAGTTTTCATCTAAGTTGATTCTATAAAATAAATAAAATAAATGAAAAAATAACTGAACTGACAACAGAGAAGGAAAGCTTCATACAGATTTGCAAAATTGCTTATAGGATTGGGATAAGAAATCCCCTTTTTGTATTATCCATAATGCAAGATGTATGAGAAGTATCAATGGCCTCTAAACTTGTGTATGAATTTTCTTGTATGAAAAGCATGTAGTAGCACACGCGCACGCAAGTGTATAACCGACATTTTCCTGAAAAAGTTTGGTATCAGGTCATTTAGCATGACTTCCCTCTCTCTGCGCCTATGCCCATCGATACTCTCTCACTAATTCAAGCCATGTCTCTAAAAACACCTTTGGGGAACAAAGATGAGTGAAGTGTTGTTGGTGGTAAAGGTCTCCATTTGTTGTTGACCCTAGAGCATGTGCAGAGTTACGGGGATGTGTCAGAATAATGTAAGTTCTCTTCCGTTCTGTTCTCTGATAGAACAACAGGGCTAAGAAGGCTGAGAAATGAGACTCGCTGAACAGTGCAGAGGAGCAGAATAATTGAGGGCAAAGGTTTTTCACACTTATTACGTGGCTTTTCTGCTCCGTTTCTATTACTGTGAGCCCAACAATCTCAAGGTCAACAGCTAATGTAAAATGAGAGTTTAAGTATATTTTTAAGTGCATTTTATTGAGAGCTTTTCTTTTTTTTCACTTGGTTCTGTCTATATATAATGTGTACATGTGGAGAGATTTAAATGAAATGGCCTATGGTTTTACGCTTGTAAATGGCTAGTGCCAGTAACCATGGATATGGATTTGTGCCCTTTTGTGTTATGTACATGGGCTTTGAGTTGTGTTAGTATGTGTGTGTGTTTCCGAGTTGTGGGCATATTGGATGATCTCCAAGTAATCTCTAAGTAATCTTAATTATGCTTGTAATTTGATGATCGCAAAATCTGCATGTTTAGCTCGTGTGTGTGTGTGTGTGTGTGTGTGTGTGTGGGAGGCACAGGGAAGAGACTGCTTTGCAAGTGTGAACTTTGTGTGTCTTCATGTTGTCTCTGTCTTAAACATATGTAAATGAAAAATAAAAATGAATATGCAACATTATAAAAAAAATGGGGTTATGGTTATTGACCAGTTTACTTCAAATATTATCCCTTGCATGCAGTGGTATGAAGAGAACTGGTGAGGAAGCTCAGTAGACCAGACACTGACACAGAAATGAATCTCCTTATATTTAAAAGAAACAAAAATAATTTCCAGTATGCAGTCCTGGCCTTCATCCAAGCCCTGTTCTGGCTGCAGGCATGGGCATATGGTGCCGGCTGTGAGTAAAGTAGCTTGGACACTCTTCTCTGTTGGGGATTTTTCTGTAATCCAGATATGAGGAAAGGCCCAGGACTGTCTTAAACCTCCCCGTCCCCATTACAGATCAGCAAAGAAAAATATTAACTGGAGTCATTTGAGAGTCAGTTGTCTTTAACAATTTCTTTGCCTCCATCTTTTTCATCAGGGACCAGGGCATCCCCCCACCCCACCACTGGGATCCCTGATGGACCCAGGGGAGGCGCTGCCAGGCCCAGTAAGGACCTAGTTAGGGAATTTCTGGTGGGACTGGACATGTTCAAATCAGCAGGTCCTGATGATCACCACCCCAGAGTGCTGAGGGAATTAGCAGATGTCATTGCAAGACCCCTGGCACAGCTTTACGAGCACTCTTGGTGCTCTGGCAAGGTGCCAGAGGACTGGAAAAGGGCCAGTGTGGTCCCCATTTTCAAAAATGGGAGGAAGAAGGACCCAGGAAATTAAAGGCCCATTAGTCTTACCTCAGTCCTGGGGAAGCTCTTTGAGAAAATTATCCAGGAGTGCATCTGCGAGGGACCAGCAGGGGAGATTATGCTTAGGGGCAACCAACACAGGTTCATTAGAGGCAGGTTCTGTCAGACCAACTTGGTGGCCTTCACGACCAGGTTACGAAATCCTTGGACGCAGGTGTAGCAGTGGACATAGTCTTTCTGGACTTTAGAAAGGCCTTTGACACTGTCTTTCACCCCATACTCATTAAGAAATTAGGCAACTGTGGCGTCGATGCCTGCACAGTAAGATGGGTTGCAAATTGGCTAGAGGGCCGCACCCAGAGAGTGGTGGTGGATGGGTCATTTTTGACCTGGAGGGATGTGGGAAGCGGGGTCCCCCAGGGCTCGGTCCTCGGGCCCGCACTGTTCAATATCTTTGACGAGGGGGTAAAAAGCACCCTGTTCAAATTCACAGATGACACTAAAATGTGGGGGGGATGTGGGCATGCTGGAAGGGAGGGACAGGCTGCAGTCGGATCTAGACAGGTTAGAGGGGTGGGTGGATAAGAACAGGATGGGTTTCACTGACAAGTGCAAGGTGTTGCACCTGGGGAGGAAGAACCAGCAGCATACCTACAGGCTGGGAAACTCCCTTCTCGTCAGTGCAGAGGCAGAAAAGGATCTTGGAATCACTACTGATGCCAAGATGAACATGGGCCGGCAGTGTGGAGATGCAGTCAGGAAGGCCAACCGCACCTTGTCGTGCATCCACAGATGCATCATGAGCAGGTCCAGGGAGGTGATCCTCCCCCTCTGTGCGGCACTGGTCAGGCTGCAGCTGGAGTACTGCGTCCAGTTCTGGGCGCCGCACTACAGGAGGGATGTGGACAGCATGGAGAGGTTCCAGAGGAGGGCCACTCACATGATCAGGGGGCAACAGGGCAGGCCCTACAAACAGAGGCTACGGGACCTGAACTGGTTCAGGCTCCACAAGAGAAGGCTGAGAGGGAATCTGGTGGCCATCTACAAACTGGCCACGGGGGACCAGCAGGCTATGGGAGAGTCCATGTTCCCCCGAGCACTACCTGGAGTTATAAGGAATAAACGGCCATAAGTTGACTGAGAGTAGATTCAGACTAGACATCAGGAGGCGCTACTTCACTGTCAGGGCGGCTAGGATCTGGAACCAACTTCCAAGGGAAGTGGTTTTTGCTCCTACCCTGGGGGTCCTCAAAAGGAGATCCCTTCTGACCCTATCAACTATGAAACTATGAGACAGCTTGATAGATGTCTGTGTAGAGTGCAAGCCAAGAGTGCCCCTTTCCAATACCCATTTTCTGGAGATACCAGTGAAAGTATGCTGCTTGAGACTCTTCTGCTTTCTTACCCAGGTTGGGAGTGAGAACTGCTTTACTTCCTTATCCACTTTGAGACAGAAAACGATTACATTCAGGGAAAATTCCACATTGAGACATCTTGTTTTAGACTATCTTTCCTGAAATTTTAAAATTGTGGAAGAAAAGTGGCTCCTGTAATGCTGAGAGGCCCTGAGTAAGGTCAGGCCTTTGTTGTGCCTGCTGCTGCATATACATACTATAAGAGATGGTTCTTGTTCCAAATAACTTGCCACTCATGCAAAAGATGGTGAGAGAGAAATTTTCTATAGCTGGGGAGCTGAGATGTGGCCTAAGTAGCCTACCCAAGGTCACATACAAAACGTGTGGCTGTTCCAAGAACTGAACCAACTTTACAAAGTTTTGATTCAACAATCTTGATGCACATCTTCAGTACTTTGCTTAATAGATACTAAGAAAGTATTGGCCCTCATATGTGACACTTATAAAGATGGGAATTGGGAAGAGTTGGTTTGCTTTTGTTACTAGACAAGATTTGTTGCAAATGTCTCATGTAGATGTCCTCCAAGCCAAGCAGCCTTTTCCTACCATATTCATAAACGATAGGTAGATTGCACAGCACCCAAATACAAAGTAATATTATAATCTTCATGTCAAAGGACCAAAAATGCAACACTTATTTTAAAATAGTATAAATTTGGGCAATTTGACTGACTTTATGGAAACTACTTCTAAGCTGTGATGAATAGAGCAGTATTTAGTTTAAAGGCCCTCAGCCTTGTCTGTGTTAATTCCCATCTGGAAGCACTTGATTAATAGCACAGGATTCTTGCCTTTCAGAAGTTGAGAGGCATGGTATGATGTGGTGCCTGGGACAGGACTGGACTTAATGGTTCTTGAGTTTCCTTTCAGTGCTACATTTCTAACTCATCAAAACACACTCAACTGAATGATAACTTGGTGGGCAAGATACTCAGCTGGTGTAAATCAGCCTAATGGCCAATGACTTTATATTCAATGGACTTCCAGTGATGTGTACCAGTTGAGAGGCTGACCTACTGGGTTTTAAATTCAATTAAAGTAAAATATAGGACCGAGATCATATCACTAATAAAAGCCTTTGTTCAGCTGTCAAATAAAACATTCATGTTTAATGAATATCTACAAGTTAAAGTTGCCTAACAACATTTATTTGGCAGCAACATCTATAAAAGTCCAAAGCTAATTGTTTGGGGGAAGGGGGGAAGGTATGATTTTATGAGAGAGAAATGTATAAAGTCTATTAGTACTTTAACCTAATGGATCTGGATTGTATGACGTATGCCTGGCAGGTCTATTTCCCCACGTTACATAACTGGCAAGTCCAATCATATCAATTCCAGAATATCAGAAAAGTGCTTACCATGGTGGTGAATCAGGATACATGACATTGACCTGAGAGAGTGTGTCCATGTAGGAACCAAAATCAAATGCTGGTGGGAACTCCTCGATGCAGGTAGATCTTAGTTCTCCAATTGAGCCACCATAGGAGAAGCCATCTGGAGCTATGAAACGAGCAATTAATGATAAGTCCTTTTTCATGGCAGATTCTGCACAGTGCTACTCTAATTTAAAGTGTTAGCCACAAGTGAGAGAGAAAATCAATTTGACACAGCAGGGTTATCAGTGATATGAGGCAAGTAAGACTTAAAGGAATAAAGAAATGCCCTGGTAGCAATTGCAAGCCCATGAAAACTAAATCAAAGCTACTGTGTTTCAGGGTGCGGCATTGGGAATACACACTTGGGTACTTCTCTGCAAATTTGTGAGTGGTATTGAAGTCCTACTCATGTGGCCAAAGGTAAAGACCTTTACAAGTTCTGATGCACATTACCTCAACTGTTTGCACTGTTTCTCCTGAACCACTGCAGTTATCAGGAGCTGCACATCTTCAGCTTCTCTCAAAACAGATTAAAGTTAGGTGCCTAACTTTGAGAAACTATGTTTGAAAAATTGAGTCTTCAACATGAGTGCTCAGATAAAGGGAGGAAATGGAAAACAGTCGTACTGCAGTTCCCTGACTGTACCGTCACATGGGAAAACTCGCTCCCAAACGGATGCCAGAAAACTGTTCAAACAATGGATAGACAGGAAGGACTGAAAAAAGGGGGAACAGCCTTTGCTTGGAAGGGCCTGGTCACCCCAAGAGCTGAAGTGGCAGTGGTGAACTAGTCCAGTTCATCTCAGCAGTGTATATTAGGCCTACAAGCCTGACCTACAGGGGTTGTTCCTGAGATAGAAGAAATTACTAGTGTAGAGGGAAGACTATTGGCTTAGATTGCATGGGCAGATGAAGACCCTGTGCCCAGACCTCTCAGCTGCATCTCTTTATGCTGTAGGCATAGCATAGTCTCTGCCACAGGCCTCTGCATTGCATTGCCTCTCTGGCAGCAGCCATCCCGCAGAGACAGGGGCACCAGCTGGTTGGCCTAAGGGAGGAAGCTGCAGCAGGTCCAGACACCTGCCACCTCTGCCTCCCAGCAGCAGAGAGAGAGGCTTTTAGCAAGAGAGCCAGGGCTGAGGCAAAGAACAAGGAGATTTACATTATTGTGAACAAGAAGCAGTCAGAGGCATTGGGCTCTTCTGTGGCTGGGAGGCTCCAAGGAGAGAGAACTGGCACTGCCTTTCCCTCCTCATCTTCTCTCCCTGCATTTGGCTCTGAGGGAGCTGGAGTCCCTCTCCACACTGCAGAGCAGACGGGAAAAGAGGAGCAGTGAGGACCACCTTAGGGGTGTCTGCAATGGAGCTGTGCAAAAGGGGAGCATAGTGTATTTGTATTGTAGGGCAGGGTTTGTCTGGCCTGAACTATGTATAATAGAGGCAGTCCAGGCAAGGGACACTTTTCTTTCTTCCCCACAGGTCCTGGGAAAGGCCCACTAGTTTCTGGATAGGACCATACTCTTTCTTGCCTCCACTGATAACTGACTAAATAGCCTTACTTAACTCACCCAGCGAGGGATGTTATTTGTGTGCAATGTCCAGAAATGAAACGCTAATTAGAGACGTGGTTCACAGAACACTGTTTTGCATAATTGTAGTCGGAAAGTGTAAACAGAGGTGGGGTTTGCCTTTTAGTAGGTAGGAAAAGAAAGCTCAGGTTCAATGTGCTGCTTGCATTAAAGGTCACACAAAGCAGCAAGTAATGTCAGGGTTGTCACTTGCCCATTGCACAGGTGTTACCTCTGCTATGGAAATCTAATAATTAGGGCTGTGCAAATAATTGATATTTTTGGTTTCTCTGTCAAACTGAAAAACTTGGAGGGGGGGAATCCTAAAAAAGATTTAGATCGAATAGATTGAATTGAATTTTAAAGTCTTTGTTTTGTCTTGCTAAAACAAAACCCTCATAGATGATATGTTCAGCAAAAGCTTATATTTGACTAGATCAACCCCCAACAAGCATTTTCCAAGAAAACAAAGCAAGCAAAAGGCCAGCTGCATCCAACTGGAAGTCAGAGTGACAGTGCCTCCTTTTTATCTTGTAGTTCATTAGTAAGGCACTTTCCCAGGATGATGGGGACCTCATCCTTGGTTCAGTTGACTTGCCTGCCTGAAAGGGTATGAAATCCCACTTCTAGCTCCCATGAGGGTACCGTAAGCACAATGCTACATGGTATTCTGCCACGAGGTAGGAGCAGCAGGCTCTCCGGCTCTCCTGTTGATGCTGTTCTACTTTGCGCTACTAATTAAATACTCCTTAGGGAATGGTCAAGGTGAGCGGCACAAATACCAGACGAGTGGTCATTTATCTCTCTGGTTCAAGGTGGGACAGCTCCAACACGGTCTGGTGAGAGTCCAGTGTTTAGGGCACTCTCCTGGGAAATAGGAGACCTTGGTTCAAATCTACTTTCTGCCTCACTCTAGCCAGGGATTTAAAACACGGTCTCATCTCTCAGGTAGAGAGACCTCCCGTAGACCTGCTGTGACCGCCAGGTGATGGCATTCTTGGGCTGGTCTCCCTTGGCCTTTCCTGCTAGATCTGTTACACTCACTATGACCTATTTAACTATTTACTGACTTATAAAGAAAGAATATATAACTTGCTACTCTGGGTGGTAGAATGCTCACCTGGACTCCAGGCCCCGTTCTCATGCATATGCCATTATTTAGACAAAGCAGAACAGTATTAACATGAATGGAAGTGGTGACTGCCAACCTCCCGCCAGTTCCCTCTTAGGATCCCGGTTCAAAGACTTTTGGGAGGTAAGAGTTCAAGTCTCCTCAGGGAGAGGAAGGAAATGAACTTCCTTTTGGGGTGAGAGCTAACTAAAAGATGGAAACAGCACTACTTCAGTTAAACTGCAATAGTTTTAGGATGACAAGAACAGCCTATTTATGTGAATTTACTATTTGACATAACTTTGGGTCCATTTCTATTAGCAATGTATTTATTTCAGTCTTGGATTAGAGGCCTGAAAACAGAAACAAAAGTTTGAGGTGATAGCATCATAGTGAGAAATCTGTAGAAGTCCAATAGCACAAGGAGATCAATACTGAAAGGACAAATCCCTTTTAGGAAGAGCAGTCAACACATTTTTAGTAATAAAGCATCTGATCGATATGGTGAGGCAAGAAACACTTTGCTGTTACAGACACCACATTCCCTGCAAGGAGAATGACTCACAGCTGTAAGTTTTGATCCTGGCTTCGGCAAACACACAGATGCTCTAAAATAAGACCAATGCTCTAAAAACTGCAGGCCCGAGAGGTACATTGGTTTTAAGCTACTCCCTGGTCTAAATTACCTAAAGCTTCATGCAGCTTTGCCTTTTTAGATACCAGCAAGGACGCAGATTAGCTTGTCACTTCAAGGAATGGACGTTTATAACTGGAAAGGCATCAGGAATGGGAAGGGTGAGGAGCTAGGAAGAAACGTTAATTGTACTAGGCAATAATGGGATGATAAAGCTGGAGGTGGATTCTGTAAAATTCCCCTAGCAGTATCTTCTCCAGACACTTCTATTCAGGAAAAAAGTGCTGCAAGTGATTTCAGCACTGCTCTAGGGTTTCTTGCAGTGTTTTCTGGCAGTGTGGGTGTTCCCAGAAGGCTGGTAGGAAATGTTATTAGACTGCGGTTCCCAGTCAGATGATGCTTCCACCAAACAGCAAAGAGGCAAAATCTGACTGATAGTGGATTTGGTCTGTAACTTTTTTCTCCCTCCTTCAGTTATGAGATGCTGATAAATCTAGCTGCACTTTCACGTTTGCTGGTATTACAAAAGATTGGCCAGCATGTTCCAACTCTTGTAGTTTTTTTGGTAGTTTCTGTTATATGAACAAAAATATCCAGGACAAGTTGTACTCAGTTCCCTCTAGGAACCAACAAGAAGATGCTGTTACTGCCTGTCTGGTTTTGTCAGGGACATCATCCAGCACTTGATTTTGCAGGTGGTTACTCCAGAAACAGGTGCACGTCACAGGGTGTCAGCATTATTGTGAGGCAGCCTCGGCCTGTTTTTAGGGAGCTGACAAGGGCAGTCAGGTGTCACAGATGAAGTTTAACTCACTGATGTAGAAGAACAGAGTGAATAAAAATCCATTTGTGAACAAAAAGCAGCTGCTCTGAACTGTGTGCGCCTGCTTTCCACTTGCTAAGCTGTCGACGAGAGGCATTGCAGCACTTCTTCAGCAAAGCCGTACCTTGCAAGGTGTGCCCCAGTCCTTAGCTCATCAGAGTTGGTGACACTGCGGACGTGGAGTGCTGTGACGACTGGCACAACTCCTTTGCTATAGGATTTAAATTGGAGCCCTAAAACTGCCTTATCACAAACGCTGTTAGTCAAACTCCTCAGTAGTGGAATACCTTCCAGAAGACTTGGCTGAAACTCAAAACTGGTGTAAGCTGATTGCCCTGAACTGCTGAAAGACAAGTCAGGGTTAAAATATTTGCCCTTTAAAATAGAGCAGCTTCAGTCTGTGACTTAGGGCTGTATATGTGTGTGTGGAGAAGCCAACATTTTCTTTAAATGGGGTTGTAAAGGCAATTTTTGGCTAACTATAAGTATGGGGCCAGGGAATCTTTCCATACCTCATAAACTGTTCTTTCCTCAGGCAGTTTTCAGCTGTGAACATCTTTGGTTCGGTTTTCAGGATCAGTCTAATGGACCAATTTAATTCCCTGTAGATTCCTACCACTGCTCTGCCCACCATCCTCACGTGCTTTGCTTGCCTCAATACACTTAGCAGGCCAAATGCACAGCAATTCCTCATGTTTTCACTTGTGCCACTGGAAATGCACCCAGATGCTACCATGATGTGTGCCGATATCAAGCCAAGATTATTACTACTTAAAAGATGCTGTTGTGTCCCTTTTCTATTTCACACTATTTTAGAGATGGAAAACATTGCCTTCTTTTTATATCAACCTTTCTCCTGGGCTGATGTTGAGGTTTTGAAATAGAGCTGAAATTAAGATAGCTAGTTTTGTTTAAGCAATGAAGATGACAGCATTTTATTACAATGCACAGCTCCTTATCATGCCCCCAAATCTCTCTGTACCAGCTTTTATCACTGATACAGCAACCGTGGTGCTCTGAGATTAGTGATTTAACTCCTTGCAGAGCCAAATGAAAAAGCAGAAAAATAAATTTTACAAAGCAGTAGATATTGTTTTTCATTTCATGCAATAGACTAGTAATCTTTTTAAAGTGTAGCAGTTCTGAGAGATGTGCAAATGTGAATATAAAATTAGGTAAAAAATGCATGACAATATTTATATGCCTTGGATGAAAAAGAAGATAGATCTGTGTTAAACTTGGAGAGACTGATAATTTATTTCCTCTGCTTTTTAAGATTAAATATGCTGCTTAGATTTCAGTTCCGCTGACTTTAATGGGGGGGTTGCTATTTCCCTCAGTAAAATTAGGATTAGGTCCAAGGTACTCTTTAAAAAAAATCTGAGTGGTATCTTCAAATGTCCAATGTACTTTTAAGAAATCTGAGTGGTACCTTCAAAATGTACAGTAAATTTATATTTTGGGTAGATGTTTTTTTCTGTCAAATGATAAATTTTAGAATTGTTTTAATGTAAACCTCAAACAAAAATCGGAATAAGGAAATCCCTATAAACAATCTTTGTTTCATGACAAATTGCAAACAGAGGGTGAGAGCTCTGAGTGGTAGAAGTTGTTGATGTTTGCTTGAATTCAGTGATATTTCTACCTGACTTGAAGCAGAGGATTTATACTAACTGAAGCTCTGGCCTCTGGGGTTACTTTTTATATGCATGCTAGCATTCTTCTTTGCAAGTACGGAGGCCTATTTTCTGTTGAGTGTAATCTGGATGAAGTGGTTCTGAAAACTTCTGATCTGAAAACTATAGAATGGCCAAAAAGTCATCCTGTGAAGGATTTTGGTCACAGGAATTACTAGGATATAGTCTGGTGGTGTCACAGTGAGGTGATTAGTACCACTGGGCAAGGCTTATCAGGGTTTTATCACATATTGACCCAACATTGCCACTCCTGCAGCATTACATCTATTTTTTAATGTGCGCAGAAAAAGAAGGGACAATTATTAAGTTACTCTTACAGGCTAGATGAGACTGTAGAGGAGAGAGAGCTCCATGATCTGCTTTTCAATAAACTGCTATAAAACGGCTCTTTAGCAGAGAGAAATAAAATTGGGCCCAAGGTTATAACTGGGTATCAGCTGAATACAGCAGTAAACTGGGAGGCTATGGGGAAGGGGAAAAATATAGAGTACCAAGGAAAATTAAACACTTGGACTAACAGGAGGCTACACTGTTGGCTCTGATATCTTCATTTTGTACTTTTAACATATAACTTTTCCTACTTTTGAGCCACCACAGAGATGTCACTAAAAAAAACAGGTTGTATTCTTCTGTCTTATCTATTAAAAAATGGATCTGCAGTTTCTGTGTGCAATCCCTGTCCACACTTGCAGTACCATGAGAAGACTAAATGCGTCCTCACCATAATTAGCATCTCTTCTCATATAAGGGTGTCTTAACCGTCCGTCCTTTCGCAGGCTGCCCACAATGATTGTAACGCAGGATAGAAACAGCACGAGTCCAATCACCACTCCGGCCACCAGCAGGGGTGAAACCAGCAAACTGGTGTCATTTCCGTTTCCACTGTAGCTGGGGAACTCACTGACGGGGCTGCTCTGGTTCGAGTGAACTTCTGCACAGCAGAGAAAGAGAAAGAAAGAATCAATGATGCGGAAAGGGATGCTCTAACTGTGGTTAGACTGACACAGAAGCTAACGATATCTGAAACAACATACAACAATACTGAGACTTCATATAGATTTGCACCCTACCTCTGTGACTGATTTGTGGAGTTAATGTGTTTGACTGTCTGGGAAATCTCAAAGTGCAATTTATGATTTCTGGTATATATTATGAATCATTGAATGGCTCAGTGTATGTGGAATCCACCATGTGCTGGGACAAGGTGATAGCTTATTCAGGTGGAAACACCTTGAGGATTATGCATTGGCAGAAGTGGGGAGAAACCAGTTCTTCTAAGTAATCTTCAGGTAGGGGGAATGGAGAATGAAAAATCCCCAGTAGCAGAACCAAGGATGTAGGTGCTGGTGTGGGGGCATTAAAATTTGGGGAACTGACAGAGAAGGATGGACCACTTTAGTCAGGAGAGATAAGTGGAAGAGCATGCTTTTGTAGCTGGGGGTCCTGTTTAATTTGTGGAGTAAGTCAAGGGCACAGCAAGGTGACTGGGGGCAAGACAGATTTACATTTGCATTCCATGATTCAGAGGCAAGCCATATGCTGAAGAAGGAGAGGGAATGGTGCCCTAAGCCCAAAGCACTCTCTGAAGTAGTGAAGAAACTCTGGCTGCTTATATATGTGCTTGTTTAGTGTTCTAATTAGAACACATCAGAGAAGACTTGATTAATTGAATTTGCTTTCCATTCTAATTAGAATGCTGCATCACTACAGCATCATGTGTATTCAGCCCCTGTGCATTTTAAAATAGCCGTAGAGCGCTTTAACTAAACCTCATTGAATGAGGCCTAGATAAAGCATCCTGCAGCCACTTTTAAATGTGCTGGAGCTTAATACACATGACAGCAAGCCGTTTTAATTGGAAAAGCTGCCAGAGAACCACTCTAAAATGCACCTCGCCCATCTCCGAGCATGTGTATAGGCAGCTTCAGTATTTGTCATCTTGCCTACATCTCTGTGTGTGTTAAGTAAAGAATTACTTAGAGCCCCTTACAAAGTGTGTGTGTCAGTTTGCTTCACACTAAGTTGTTCCCAGAGAGGTACATTTTAAAATCTGTCTGCTCACACAGTTGGAGTTTTTGGAAAAGTTTGCTTAAGTTACTGGGTGCATGTGGGTGAGCCTGCTTTTCTTTCAGAGACCTGAGGAAGGGTGCTATGATACCCAAAAGCTTGTCTGAGTCCATCCCAACCATGCAGTTGGTCTGATAAGATATTACCCCAAAATTCTTGCCTCTTGCATAAAATCAGTTGGGTAACTTTATCAATGCTGACTGACAGCAGCATGCTTGTAGGGCAGCACTGCTGCAGGCTTACCCAGTGCTTGAATCTAATTCAGTGGTTATGATGATCTAGATACTCAGCATGTCAGTTTAACAGCACAAGTTTATCTTTTTGTGCAGCCCAGTTTTCCATATACTTTCAGGGAATGTGCTAAGGAGACTTGACCCAGTTTCTTATAGATGTCTAATATAACAAACAAACAAACTTTAAATTATGTTTACAGTTTACATTAATTGGTAACTATATGCACAGAAATGTTGCTGTTTAAAAAAAACAAAAGAACACCATGGCAATGAACAATGAAAGGAAGAGCATATTTAAATAGCTTTTTAGATCATACAGCTTGTAAAGTAAATGCATGAGTAGAAGTGGGCTAAGAGCAGGGGCACTGGGTGAAATTCTACGGTCTTTGTTATGTAGGAGTGCAGACAAGATAATTATAATGGTTCCTTTTCAACTTAACATCTAAGAAATCTTTGAAGTATAAATGCATTGCATTGAACCATTAACCCCACCCCCCATCTTTAAGGTTTGTTTTTTTCCGCTGGGAATTTCCCATTTTTAAAAGAAATGTCAGAAGGTATCTTATAAAATAAATAGCTTTTGGCCATACATTTTTTAAAGCAGACTTTCTATAACCAGCTTCAGCACAGAAAGTTTAGGCATGTTGATGCTTCTGGACTGTAATGAATTCAAAGTCAAACATAAACTTTCGTTCTGTGAACTCCAGCTTTCAAGTTCTGCAGTGATGCCTGTAAGGTTGAAACGCTCCACAAAGCCTCGTGCAGAATTCACAAGCCCTGCCTGGGGAGCTGCTACAGATAACTGGACTTTTACTGTATCAAAATGGATGCACTGACTCTCCTGGTTTCTTCTTATTCGAAGCTGCTACTGCTTTCTGCACAAACTAGAGGCAGGCCTCTGGTCTGCAGTTGGTCTCAGCTCACTTAATCCATGATGTGGTTATTTCTAAAATGCGCAATGACTGTTGTGGCACATAAAAGCACATCAGGGAAGTCTCAGGTCTTCATGAAAGTTGCAGAACTGAGATTATAGCTTTGCTTTTAGTTGGGTGACTAGTGGTGAAGTGAGAGCTAAAAAATGTTGGGGGAATGTAGACAGTCTTGTATTTTACCTCCTATGTGCTTTCCCCCTTTCCCTGTAAGAAAAGCTGTACAGTAGCATGAATAAGCGTGTGTTGTTTTTTGTTTCTGTTCTATGACTTGGGCTTTGTAAGTAAATATATTGTCCAGTTAGAATTTATGGATTTCAAGGGGGGTTTCCTTGCAATTTTTCAAAACAAATACAGGTTTTTATTGATTAAAACAGTAATTTCTAGTTCATTTTAGTTGAACAATGCATAATAGTGTTGCCCTGCACTTTGATTAGAGCTCCTTTGGCATTGATACTGCTACCACCACAGTTTTCTCCTTGTTATGATTTGCAGCATGGTGAAATCTCTCACAACTTACAGGAAAAGGCTATATATAACCGCACCGCCCCCTGCCTTTTCCAGCTCCATTCCTAGATGATGGCTTTAACTTCTGTAACAAACCCACTCCAACAGAAAGCTGAAAAGCAGACAACCAAAAAAAAAATTTGAAACCACAGCTATCATTTAGTCTGATGCAAATATTATTCCGACACCGGCTATGGCAAAATTTCAGGGCAATTTTTTTCAGTTCAGTGCACCTATTTTCTGGCCCTGCTATCCAGTATGGACTTGACCCAAAGAAAAATTCCAGCTGACTATGATCAGAGGTAGATCAGGGTCTTTGTCTGGTAATCCGGCATTTGTATCTGTGAAAAGTATGCTGGAGTATCCACTGGGACTAATTTTCAAATATGACACAGGCTGCACATTACAAATTTGTACACGTTTCCATTCTTTCTGCCAAAAGGCAACTGAGCCTGTAACCTGGGTATTCCCTTTCTGCAAATACTTTCATTAACCAAACTTGTTCTTATGAATATTTCCCAAAAGCAAATAATGGGTATTGCAAGTCCCACAGAAATGACTTTGTACATTTTGTTGAAACAGATGTTTCTAACTTTCCCACAGTTTTTGGTCCTACTTAGTGTCCTGTAGGCACAATGAGATAGTGGATACGACCGGCACGTGGTGGCTTCATGCCCATGTATATTATCAGTGGCTGACACTTGACACACCGAGAGCTGACTGGAAAAATAAAGCAAAGTAGGAATTTGCATATAATGTTTCTGTCAATTCTTAGCTAGCCTGGACTCAAGTTGGCTGAGAAGTCTTATGGGCAATTATACTAACCTTCTAAGAAATGAATGGAGCTTTTACAAAACATTGTGCATCTAAAGGAAAAACTGCACTTTATCTAAAGGAAAAGATACAAATAAAGATGTATTGTGTACCTAAAGGAAAACCTGAAGGGCAAGCTGACTTCTCTGTGCAAAATTAAGACCAGATGAAAACTATTCTGCTAGGACTTGTAACTCAGCTGGTTTTGTCATGCAGCATGTATTGAGGTTTATTTGATTTTGTGGATGCTACATTTGGAGTAAAAAAATTAGCAAATATCTTTGTAAAGCTGGGAAGATGGGCTCACTGTACAAAATGTAGAACTGTCCCTGCAATCCCACAGATTTTGGTATGACCAATTGTAAAACTAGGATCTTGTTGCAAAGTTAGGATTGAAGCTTGGGAACCTAACTTTCCTAAGATTGGTGGTATTGAAATTGGATCCCTAATAACTTGTGTAGGCTAGTTTCCTTCCTGCTAATGAAATAAGATATTGCCCAGGAAATCTTACACTTCTCTGAGCCAGTTACTCAAAGGTGCTGTCCTCCCATCAGCCTAACTTCAGACTAATATGGCTAACTATTTCTCTCTGCTAAATAGATTATGGGTTAACAGTGATGAAAAGGAACCTCACAGAAAATAAGGGTAAGCAGTTTACCTATCAGTGGGTGCATCTATATGTGAATTAAGGTGAAGCAATAAACTCTGGAGCTGTTTGTTTGAGCTGGCATAAATTGCTCCCAGGCTCAGCATCTACACTTGCACCTGGGAAGCAGCAATTTGAACCAGGGGGGAGCAGGCAGGGGGCACAGGGAGTCAGCCCCAGGCTCTGGGTGGCGACGGGGGCGGGCTGGCTGGGGCATGAGGGTGCTGAACCAGCGGAGTTGTATGGTTAGGTGGCAGCCAGGAGTATGGCCCTCGCCTGACCTCTATCTACACATGCGTTACAATGCAGATAATTACTCTGCTGTAAGATAGTACTGTCCCTGATACCAGTGCATGTGTAGACAGTGATGTTGTGATGTTTTACTGTGAAGCTAATTAGTCTACTCCGCAGTAAAGTGCATGTGTACACGCACCCAATGTCTCCATGTTTCACTTGAAAAAGTACCTGGTGCATTAGATATACTAGAATGTATGTGTATAACTCTTTTGTT